TATATGACTAGTGAAGAAATGGAACCAAGACTTGAAAACAGTTTCTGTCTTTAGAGAAAGACATATTTGAAAGAGTTCTCCAAGTTATTATTATTTCTTTTTGGGGAATGCTGGGCATTGAACCTGGATCTTGCACATAATAAGCATATGCTCTACTAGTGATCCACACTACTCGTTCCTTTAGGTTTGATTTTTAATCTTACTGGTTTATAGTAGGAGCATGGTAGATGTGCGAATGAAAAATTTTAAGAGAAGGGAGAGCAGCTCTTGGGCTTCTTTTCTTCTTGGTTAGTTCCCGTGATTATCTTTCTGCCATTACTCCTGGAAATCTCAGCTGCTGGCAAAAGCATTGAAGTCTCACACTAATCACATGCTATTAAATGTAGGTGGAAATGCCTAGATTCTCAGATTTTTTTTTTCTTCAAAACATTGTAATTTAATTTGCTTATAGTTTCTGGGACTCTATGGCTTAAATATTAATAAGATGATGAAGAAATATAGACTCTGGTCAAATCAGATTATCAAGATTTGTTACTTTGAATTTAGATTTGCTTTTTTTTTTTTTAAAACAAGTTCTTTGATTTGAAATGCTTTTTTCATTCTCTGAAGCATATACAGCCATTCTCACAAGGAAAAGTTTGCTGTAAGGTTTGTAAGTATTAATGTGATTCACTTTTTTTCTAAAACATCAATATCTTATTTAGATGTTTTAATTTCCCATACAAAGTCTTATTTTGGTTAAGATGCATTGTACTCATAAGCTGACATGGTGAATTGAAACCTGTTTGTATGACTAAAAGACAATAAATTAAAAATAAATTAAAAATCTTATTTTGAAGTTTGTGAGTTTCTAGAAAGTAATTTTTAATTGAGAAATTTCAAAAATTCTTCTTCTCTTAATAAAATATCTTATTGTAATGGGTTTATAGCAGCTTGATAAACTTAAAAGTAATTCATATTGAAGTTTAACAAACTTTTTTTGTGGGGAGGGTTTTGAACTCAGGGCTAGGGGGATGTCCTTGAGCTTTTTTGCTCAAAGGTAGCACTCTACCACTTGAACCACAGCCCCAATTCCAGCCTTTCTGGTTATTTGGAGATAAGAATGACAGGGAATTTCTTGCCTGGCTTTGAACAGAAATCCTTAGATCTCAGCTAGAAATACAGTTGTTAGCTACCAGTCACCAAAGTTTTTTTTTTTTAAACTACATAAACAGTTTCTCAAACCAAAAAGGTTTTTCTTTCATATTCATACACATTACCATCATTCATAAATGAACTATAGTTATTCTGTTGTGATTCCTGTTATTTTTATTACGGGTAATAATGAAACAAACTTTATTCCTATTGTGTTTATATTGCTCAACTTGACAAGACAAAAATTTTCTTACCACACTTAGTCATTCATTTCATTGAAAGATGTCCACATTGTTTATATGATTAACACTGCTAGGAGCTATGCTATTTTAAATATTGTTTTAAGAGCCTCTAATCTCTTAAACTTTCACTAATAGAAATAGAATTTTCCAGAAAGTCTTTTGGGATTTAGTATACAAAAATGGATGGATAAGACATGAGAAGCCTACACTGGAGTGAGAGAATCCTAGTTGTAGGCAGATACCTATTAAGTGCTATCATTGAAATTTATGTAAATTGCTATGGGAGTACAGGTAGGGAATAATTAATTTAACCTTGTAGAGGATAGTTGAGAGGAATCTCTGCTGCTTCCCTTTATAAAATCAGAGAAGGTCTTCTAGATGTTAACTAATGGTTCCAATATTCTGTGGCTTGAAATTAGATGTGTTGAGTTTGGGATTTTTTTCCCTCCTTAACAAACCTGTTGTTTACACTGCCTTTCCATTTGTTTCTACCAGTTACCTTGACAAAAGATGGGAACATAAATGATTCTATTAGGGAAAGATGTATCTAAGAGTCAAGATTTGAGTCTACAGGGATTCTTCCATGGCAACTTTTGTAGTACCGGGCTCTTATTTTCACAGGACAGTTGATGTGGTTTGTTATCACCATATCACGACGCCACCACCACTGCCAGCTTTTTGGATTTTTTTAAGGAACAACAAAAAAATCTATTTTTTAAATAGCTTATAGATTTTTGGACAAAGAGAGAAAGGACTAACTGTAATGCACATTTAAATATACTGTCATAGAAATAATCAGAAGGTTTGAGGGGAAGGTAAGATTTTTGGTCACCTGAAATGGAGATTAGGAACACAGGGAGGTGAATGTCAAGGAAGAATTCCTGAGAGACTGCTTTGTGGGATTCAAGTTGTGTTTCTGAGTAGGAATTAGTCATGATAGGAAGGTAAAGAGAAAGGCAACATTTCAGGCAGAAATGTTGGTTTTATGACTGGTGTGAAAAAATAATCTGAATCTATCAGATTACTATATATTATAATCACCTTATATTATGTGTAGCTCATTTCTATAATCCTAGCTACTCAGAAGGGGGAGAGCTGAGAATCTGGCAAAAAAAACTCTAAGAGAATTTGGAGAAAAGGCTGGAAGTGGAGGCATGGTTCAAGTGGTAGAGTGCTAGCCTTGAGCTAAAAAGCTAAGCAAGAATGTGAGGCCCTGAATTCAAGCTCCACAAAAAAGAAAAACATACTAAAGAAAAAAAAGTCAGAGTATATGGCACTGCTTGTGGTTGTTTAAGTGTGGGAATTATGTCAGTGGGAATCCAGATGGTTCTCCAGATTATGTGATCATTTGATTTTATGTTGAAGACAGTCTTTAAATATAGTAGAAAGCTCACAAGGATTTTAAGCAGGATAATGACTTTAGAGTTGGAAGTGACACTGATTAGTGTAGTCATTTGATAATGCAATTGTGCTTGAAATATGATGGTAGAGAGACGAGAAAAATATCATTGGTTAAAGACATTATGGTAAAATAAAAAGATGTTTTAGCTTGGTGACTTGTTGAAAGTAAAGAGAAAACAGATTTTTAAGCTGGCTGATTAGGAAAGTAGTAAATACAATGTAAGAAAATACAGGAGAAAACTTTTTATTTTGTAGGAAGTGAAGACAAGTTCCATGTTAATCATGTTGTGTCATGTTAGAAAAACAGGTGAAATGACTTGCAGAGAATTGGAAACTCAGGTAGAGATTTAGTCATTATTATTCAAAGGGGCTGAGAGAAGCTCTAGGAATGTTTGAGATCTCTAAGGTTATACAATTATTTATTTATTTATTTGCTTATTTATTTTTGTCTATACAAGTCTGGAGAGTAAAAAATAAGATCATACTAGGTGCTGGTGGCTCACACCTATAATTCTAGCTGCTCAGGAGGCTGGCTGAAGATCACAATTGGAAGCCAGCCTGGCAGACAAATCTGAGATACCCTTATCTCCAGTTAAGCAGAAAAAAAACCCAGAAGTGGTAGAGCTTCAGCCTTGAGCAATAAGTGATATTTTGAGGCCCTGAATTTAAGTCCCAGTATCAGCACCCCTACCACTCACCAAAAGGTCTCCATATAAAATTTCTACATTTTTTAAAACCATATCTGCTTTGTAGAAAAATCTGATGATTCCCGGAGTCTTTCCGAAGATTATCATTTTACTCCAGGTACTGGCTTCTTGCCTGGCATTCACTATTTTCCTTGCTAATGCATTGGATGTATCTTTGCCTGTTGCTACTCAGTGAAAACAAAGAGCCTCAATTGTTTCGCTCTCTTTTCCTATCACGGAAATTCGTGCAATAAAAATCATTTCTTTTTTTTTAATCTTAAAAATTTTATTGTCAAGGTTATGTACAGAGGGGTTATAGTTACATTAGTAAGGTAGTGTTTACATTTCTTGTCTAACTTGTTACCCCTTCCTTCATTTTTCTCCCTTTTTCCCTTCCCTCAAGCCCTCCTCAAGTTGTACAGACCATTTTCCACATACTGTCTTGTGAGTACTACTGTTAAAGAAATTGTTTCTTCCTATGTTGACATTCTCAGTGAGTGGTGGAAAGCTCTTAGTGGTATCATTCTCAGTGAGTGGTGGAAATCTCTTAGTGGTATCATTCTTTTGCCCCATCATGCTCACTTACAGTCTCACACTTGATATTTGTGGGCTTCTTTGGTGTCCTGTCCAAATGCAAGTGTGTTGGCTTCATGGTTCATCCATTACATTTTTGTATCTACCTGGTTCCCCACTTGAAGGTTCCTTGCCCAAAGCTTTCTTCTTGCTTTATCCATCAGCAGACACCTTAGATGAAGGACACCAACTTACTAGGTCCAAATTGGACTGGGACCCCAGTACAGGTTCTCAGAACATGAGAGGTGTGAAATCACTACATTTAAAAAAACGATTATCCCATTATCTATCTTTCCTGCTTACCATAGTTATTCATAGGTTGATTTATTGGTTGATGTGAGATTAGTTCTGTTCTCTAGGTAGAACAGTGATGCCTGCTACTATGGAATTAGATCCCATCTGAATATTCTTTTGGGAGAATTGAGTCACTCCTTTCTCACAGCACCTAATCCTTTTTAAAGCTACCCATACCTTTCCTTTTTGAATTTATTTATTTATTATTATTTATTACTTTCCTTTTTGTATTTATTTATTTATTTATTTGCTTATGGCTAGCACTTTAGCACTTGAACCACATTTACACTTTGGCTTATTGGAGTTTATTGGAGATGAGTCTTTCACAGACTTTCCTGCCCAGATTGCTTTGTAACTGTGATCCTCTGATCTCAGCTTCCTGAATAGTAGTTGTGAGTGACTGGCACCCAGCTGATACTTATGTTTTAAATAAGTATAATTTCATATTTTCCTTTAAAATAAATGTTGGTAATTTATGTTTTTTTTTCCTGGCTCATCTGTAGAGTCCCTCTGTGTATTTTAAAAAATTCATTATTTGCAGTTGTTTTAGAACAAATTTCCTGAAAGATACTATATTAGAAATATTTTATTGGACTCAATCTATGAAGTACAATGGACTATGAGTATTGAAAAACACAAATAATACATGCCTTTTCTCCTTATTTTCTAGCCTTCTTTGAATCCTGGGGGAAGCCAGTCATCGGATGTGGTACTTTTGAATCACTGGAAAGTGAGGAATTTTGAAGTACACCGTGGTGACATTGTGTCGTTAGTGTAAGTAATTCAGAGATATACTTAATTTGTATTTCTACTTATGCTGATGTAACCAGTAATCTACTGTTAATACTGTGGTTAATTATTAAATTAATGAATGCATATGAAATATATGCTTTTTAAGAAAATCAATCTTGAAATATAATAATGCTATAAAAAAGGGTTTCCTTCATATTTTACTTCAGTTAATTGACCTAATTGGATTTGGTAAAATGTGTTTAATTAAATGTTGATTAGAAGTTATTATGCTAATGATCCAAAATAAGTACATTTGATATTGCTTAGGAATATTTTGTGATTTTTGCATCTTACTATGAGACTTTTATGCTTTGAAGTTCTTTTTTTTTACTTTTTGAAGCTAAAATTGTTTAGAAGATGATAATTGTGATATGAAATTCAAATGACATTTATTTATATCAGGAGTCTGACTGAAAAAAGGAGTTTGCAAGAAGAGTAGTGGAGGCTTTTGTTTGGGACCAAAAGGTGGCACTGTTTCTCTGTTAAAATATTGTGACTGGCCAGGAAGAAAAATTTCATTCCAGTCTTTAGTTGTATAAAAGGAATGTCAATGAGTGCATAATTGACACAATAATATAATACATAGACTTAGAACATGCCTGAATGGTTTAGATTTGAGCTTTTGGTTTGTTTGTCTTAAAAGTAAATTCACACTGAGAACAGTGCCAGAACTTGTCTAATGTTTTTGGCTTCAGTTATTTATAAAAACTTTACGCCAGTTAGTAGCAACTCATGAAGTTTGTTTTAGTGATCATTAAAGCTACCCTTGAGCGAAGATATTCCTGTTTTGTATTTCTTATTCTTGAACTGGAATGACTTTTCTTGTTGGATGATAATTTAAGTATTGATGGAAAACGCTTTGTGGAAATAGATATTCTATACCTGTGTCTCCTTCAAGACTGGTTTATGAGGGTTCATTTGAAGACATATTGTCCAAATCTTGTTAGCAGCTAATAAAATAAATAAATTTAAGCGAGTTTTATATGGCAGACATCCAAGGATGAGGATTAAATGCTTCTCATGTTTTGAGTGCTTTCTTTTATTTTGTCATTTAGAGTACTATTTTTGCAACCTTCTTAAAAAACCTTTTCCATGCTGGGGTAAGCCTGTCATATGCTTATTGCTCTTTTGCCTTTGGTTTGACAAGGTTACATCCCCACTTAGTTGGTGATGGAGCCGAAACCCACCCAAGTGAAAGAGGTCACATTACAAGCACACAATAGTGCAATACTTTTTTTTTTTTCCCCATGAGAAACGTACTGACTATCTTTCAGCAAGTGACTCTGAATAACTAATTGAAAAGTGAAAAGGACTTTTTGAAATTCAGGGTTATATGACTCCATAAAAAAATCTCTTAGCATATCATAGACTATGTTGAAAACACCATTCTTTTAAGCAAAAATTTTAATTACTTATACTTGTTATTTAAGTTAATTTAAAATTATTTTCAAATTGGGATTGCTGGAATATATTAGAGTTACTCAGTTGAATTGTATTTTTAATGCAGCAATTATATGCCATACCTTTATCACTTAAAAATAACGTACACTTTCATAATGCTTTGTGGCTATCCATTTACATAAATGAATGTTTAATTTTGATTATTTGACAACAAACAACTATTAAGCAATGTCATTGCTTTCTTTGAGAAAGAAACAAAATCTCTGACATTAAATTTTTCTTTAGCTGAGTAAATACTATTAAAAGTCATATTTGTCAGGTGCCAGTTGCTATGCCTGTAATTCTAGCTACTTAGATGACTGCGATCTGATGATAAGATTCAAAACCAGCCCAGGCAGGAAATTCTTTGCAAATCTTTTCTCCAAATAACTACCATGAAAGCCAGAAGTGGAACTCTGGCTTGAGGGGCAAGAGCATTACCCTTGAGTAAAAAAAAGCTCCCAGGACAAGAGTTCAATCCTTAGGACCAGCATGTGTGTGCGTGCACGCACACACACACACACACACACACACACACACACATACACATACATACACACACACACACACACACAAAAGTCATACTGTAAAGTGTATTTTGTTTTATGAGCAACAGTGCTTAGAAACATATCTTTATTTTTTATATAGTTTATAGACTTCTTCATGGGTGTTGGTTTGATAAATGTTCATATATACATTTTAATCCATGTCAAACAATACTGAATATTGATGCCAAGGCATCAATCTGGTTTTTAACATAGTTGACGATTTTCATTACTACACTGGAACAGTATAAGAAATGTACAATCAGTACAGAAATGCATATCCAAATGTTGAGTCTAAAGGTAATGTGAAATGTACTTACTTTGTTTAGAGATTTGTGTTAATAACAAATTTCAATGATAGGTGAGTAGTCTTTGGAAGTAATGTACAATGATATTTGTATTAATAAAAATATTGAAGGAGGAGATGTGGTGTTCACATCTACAATCCTAGATTCTCAGGGGGAGATTGGAAGGACTGAAGTTTGAGGCAGGGAAAAACATTAGTGAGAAGCCCACCTCAATCAATAAGCTAGGTGTAGTGTTATATACCTGTGATTCCAGCAATGTATACTAGCCAGGAGTAAGAAAATCCTATGAGACCTCTTGTGGCACCTGAAAAATAACTAAAGCATAATAGAACTGTGGGTGGGGTTCAAGCGTGAGGCCCCGTTTTTAAACCCCAGTATCTCCACTACTAAACAAAGAGAAAAAATTAGCTAGTGCTGGTCATTCACACCTGTAATCCTAGCTACTCAGGAGTCTGAGCTCTGAGGATTGTGGTTCAAAGTCAGCCCAGGCAGAAAAGTCCCTGTGAGGGCTGGGAAGGTGGCTCAGTGGTAGAGCGCTTGCCTTGCATGCGTGAGCCCCTGGGTTTGATTCCCCAGCACCACATAAGCAAAAAGAAAAAAAGCTGGAAGTGGCACTGTGGCTCAAGTGGTGGAGCACTAGCCTTGAGCTGAAGAGCTGAGGGACAGCGCCCAGGCCCAGAGTCCAGGCCCCCACGAATGGACCAAAAAAAAAAAAAAAAAAAAGCCCCTGTGAGACTCTTATCTTCAATTGAGCACTCAAAAATTGGAAGTAGCACTGTGGCTCAAGTGGCAGTGTGCTAGTCTTGAACACAGAGAGGCTCAGCAACAGCGCCTAAGCCCAGAGTTCAAACCTCACAACCAACAACAACAACAAAATTATATATATATATAATTATATACATTATATATATATATATTCCTGGAACAGTATTTCATGCACTGAAAATGTGTGACAATGTAACGTTCTACTCTAATAATTATATATATTTCTAAAAATTTTTCAGTTTAGAAATTTGTTCTTCTAATAGTAGGGTTTATGAGACTTTGTATTAGAACAATAACAGAAAGAATAACAAACCTAATTGAAATACACAGTTTAAAAGACATTAAACTGCATATATATAAATGTGGGGTTTAATTTAGGACTAAAAGAGTGAACATAGCCTGATAACGTGATATGAGGAAGGGTTGAGTCTCTTTATGTGTACAAGGACAGAGGATATTATCAGAAGTGGAGAAATGGTGATCAACTTTGTATAACATATGCTGAAAGGAGAAGTATATGTTCCAGTCATCATTTTGACTTTTTTTGTTTTATTATTAATGAGGAGATTAATTGAAACAGGTCTACCTCTGTACCCCATGTAGCCCATGTGGACACTGAACTCCAGAATTCTGACTTAGTCTCCCAAGTTCTAGGATTGTGTGTATAGTACACCACACATGGCCTTGTTTTATTCATTTTTAATGTGTGGGTAAACTTTGCAAAAACTATTTCTATGAAAATGGTTGAATATATAGTATTGATTTCTTCCTGATTTGCTGCCAGTAGTGTACTTGGTCTTCAAATTGCTGTTATTAATGAGGAAAAGCATTATTGTATGGGGAAATACTATACATGAAAAAATGTACCTTGTGGATTGTACTAAAATCGTTTCTCCATTTACCAATTAATTGTCTGTGGGCTAATTTATGTTACTGAAACATGTGGTGTGGCCATCCCCTTCTATTGTAAGAGATTTTGTTCAGAGCCTGTTGACCAGTGCTATTTTATTTTTATTTTTTGGGGGGGGAAGGGAGTTTAGTGTGGGGGACAAGTACTATAGTTGAATTCAGGACCTTGAGCTTGTTCAGCTTTCTTGGTCACAACTGGCACTCTACCACTTGAGCTATGCCTCTAGTCCAGCATCTTTGAGATGAATTAAAGATGGCGTCTCACAGAGTCTGCTACTCAAGCTGGCTTTGAACCTCCTCTTCCAAGTCTTGGCTTCCTGAGTAGCTATGGTTACAGGTTGCCTAATGTCATTTTCTAAAGCATGGAAGGTCTGAGGAGGGAGCTTTATGTACTGGAATATGTTTCTTTGTATCTCATTTTTTCTGTTCCCTTTTATTCTGTAAAACATTGGTTCCAGTGGCACCATTATTTAAAAGTATTATTCTGTTATGTGGAGTCAAAAGATGTATTTGTTTAGCTCCATACAGGGCTCACAAAACATCATCAGCTATCATTAAGTCCTCAGCACTAGCAGTGTATGTAGGTGGCATCACACTCTCTTAGGGGATTTGCAAGCTAATTGTAATGATTAAGGTGGATTTTCTATACCTTGGAATTGACTTTTTATTAACCTTTGTGACGGCCTTACTGCAATAGGCTTAACATAAGTAGCCTTATTTCACAATAATATATCACTTGACAAGTCAATTTAGATAGAGGCTCTTTCATAATAAAGTTCAAAATGATCACATTTAAAAGTTTTAACTTTTAACTTTGAAATAGTATAAGAGCTAAAACCAAGTTGCTAAAACACTATAATTTCTATCTACCTCTCAGCCCAACCAAAATTTACATTATATACAACCACAGTACACTGACTGAAACCAGGAAGATGACACAACATTATCCTTTAACCAGTTTTTTAAAATTTTATTTTATTGTAAAAATGCTATACAGAGGGGTTATAGTTACATG